TGGATATAAAAGGTTTTTAAAAAAAAAAAAAAAAAAAAAAAAAAAAAAAACTATATAATTACAAAATAAATTATAAAAAATAAAAAAAATTATAAATATTATGAAAACAAAAATAAGAAAAAAAGAAAAACATACTGATAATGTAGAATTTTCTTCTAAAATTTTAGATAAAAATAAAAAAATTGAAACATTGCAAATGAGGAACATTAATATTGAAGTCAATAATTGTAATGAAAATATAAGTGAAAAAAATATAACATATTTTAATAAGGATGTAATTGTTAATGGAAATCCAAAAGAAATAAAAAGACAAAATAAAGATAATAGTATAAATCATTTGGAAAAAAAGAATAATAATAAAAGTAATATAGTAAATATAAAACCATCTATGAATGAAAAATTGAAAAATGAAGAATTAAGTAATATTAGAAGTAATGATGAAATTATTAATATAGAAAATGAATCCATTATTATAAATGAAAAAATGAAACATTCTTCAAATTATATAAATAACATAGAATCAGAATTAAAACAATATGAATGTTGTGAAAAAATAAATAAAATTAATAATAAAAAACATAAATATCAGGAATTAAATCCTTCTGAAATAAATAAAATGAATATTTCGTCTATTACGAAAATAGATAAAATGGACTTAAATACGAAAAGAAAGAAATTATCAGAAATTAATTTTGATCATAATAATGTTAAAGGCTTTCTAAACAATCAATTGTACAATATGAAAGAAGAAAATTCTGAGAATTATTTGTTTTCTATAAATAACATTTTAGATAGTAATATTAAAGATGAAAATTTAAAAAAAAAAAGTAAATCAGTTAATAAATATTACAATAATATTGCATATAAAAATTATTATCATAGTGATAATAATAATAACAGTAATAATAATAATAATGATAATAATAATAATAACAGTAATAATAATAATAATAATAATAATAATAATAATAATAATAATAATAATAATAATAATAATAATAATAATAATAGTAATAATAATAATAATAACAATAATGATAATAATAATGATGATAATAATAATAACAATAATGGTAATAAAAATAATAATAATGATGATGATGATAATGATAATAATAATGATAATAATGATAATGATAATAATGATAATGATAATAGAGATGATAACAATAATAATAATGATAATGATAATAGAGATGATAACAATAATAATAATGATAATGATAATAGAGATGATAACAATAATAATAATGATAATGGTAATGATAACATTATTAATAGCGAAAATAAAAATGATATAAATGAAAATAATTTCACTAAAATTAGTAATAATGAATTAAATAATATAGTAATAAATGAAGAAGGAAATTTTGCAGAATATAAAAATGTTTCATTATTGGAAATAAAAGATTTAGATAATCCTAAAGATAATTTTATTTTGAATAATTATAAAAAGGATTCAGAAATTAAATCAAATAGTAATTCATTTGAAAATAATATAAATAATATAGAAGTAAATTCATATAAAGAATTATATAAAATAAAGGATTTAAAAGAATGTTCAGATAAATTAGAAAGTGTAGATAGATTTTTATACAACTCAGAAATAGATAATATCATAAACAATGTAAAAGATAAAATTACTTCAAATAGCGAAATGAAAATCTTAAAAAAAAACAATAATATTAGTAATAATAAAAAAGAATATTTATCAAATTACACTAATTTAAACAATTCTAATGATAAAGAAAATGAAAATAGAGAATGTTCTTATAATTCAGAAAATGATATTAATAACTTACGATTACAAATAAAAAAAGAGTTTTATAATAAATTAAGCATCGCTTTAGATGTTAATATGTGTTTTAATACAGATGAAAAATATTATATGAAGTTTTTAAAAAATAAAAAATTTCAAAAATATATTTTAAATACATCTAAATTTTTAATAATACTTGGAAAACATTTACGTTTGTCTTTTTGTACAATATCAATCGCTTTATATTATATGCATAAATATTACCAAAAACATTTAAAAAAAAAAAAAAACTCTATAATTTATTTAATTGCTGGTTCTTGTATATTTTTAGCATGGAAATTACGAGAAGATTTTGAAGACATAAAAAAATCTAAAAAATTATATGATATACCTAAAGTTATATTCAAATTATTAAATTATTTTTATAAAAAAAAAAAACTAAAAAAAAAAATCAATCAAATAGAAATTGATTTAATAAAATTTTATAAAGTAAATAACAATATTTTCCCAGAAGATTCTTTCAATTCTTATATATATAATGTAAAAAAAGAAGAAATTTATGAAAAAATTCAGGAAAAAGAAAAGGAAAAGGAAAAGGAAAAGGAAAAGGAAAAGGAAAAGGATAATAATAGAGAAAAAGATAATAACAGAGAAAAAGATAATAACAGAGAAAAAGATAATAATAGAGAAAAAGATAATAACAGAGAAAAAGATAATAATAGAGAAAAAGATAAACAAGCAAACAAACAGAAAAATAAAAAAAATGAAAGACAATACGAAAAAGAAAAAAAAAATCAAAAAACTCCAGTTAAAGAAGATGAAATGAAAGAAAGTGAAGATAATTTAAAAAATATTGATTTCGAAGAAGATGTTAAAAAAAAAAAAAAAAGTTTATATTATGATTTGATAGAAATAAATAATATAATAAAAAGTGGATATATATCAGATATAAATGATATAAATCATGTTAGTGATTTTTTCAGCTCTTATTTGTCTGAATGTAACAGTAAAGATATTTCCGAATATGAGATTTTAAGTGATGAAAGAAAGGAAAATGGGAAATTAATAAAAAAGGAAGAAAAAAAAAAAATAAATGAAAAAAAAGCAGAAATAGAGAAAGAAGAGGAAGAAAAAGAATTAACAAAAAGTGAAAATGAAATTGAAAATGATATAGAGAAAAAAAAAAAATACATAAAAAAATTTAAAAAATTATGTAAAAAACAAAAAAAAAATATTTATATTTCTTCTTCTAAATGGATTTTAAAAAATAAGGGACAGAAATTACAAATGATGCAAAAAATTATGATATATTATGAAGGGGAAATATTAAAAAGTTTCAATTATTTTATAAAACCAAAAATACTTTCTTTTGAATTATTGCCTTCCTTTATAAAAAGATTTGTGCTTATAATGAAAGACTATATAGAAGATAAACAAGTTTCATACATTGAGAAATTGTGTTTCTTAATTATTTTAGATTTTTATAAAACTCCACTTTGTTTAATATTTACACCAAAGGAAATTCTTGTTACATGTCTGCTAAAAGCATTTATTTCCATCAAATTAATATATAATCAAATCAATTTTGAATCTTTATGTTTTGAAGGTTTAAAAGAAAAAAATTATACATATATGCATATTTGCACACAATTATATTTTTTATTTTTTTAATTTTTTTTTTTTTTTTTTTTTTTTTGCAGATTTTGAAAAAAAAATAAATTCTTTCATTTATTCAATAAGTTACGAAGATCCTATAAAGTAATTGTTCAAATTATGAATAACTATTATTTTTAAAAAAAACAAAAATTAATTTATTCATATATTTATTTATTTATTCATTCATATATTTATTTATTTATTTATTTATTTATTTATTTATTTATTTATTTATTTATTTATTTATTATTTTTCCCCTTTTTTCAATTGCAGTATAAATAGAGTAAAAATAGCTTTAAGAGAAATGAGGCAGATATATCATTAATTTTTTTTTCAAATATTATTAGAGAATTTTGTTTAAAATGTGTATTTCTTTTTTTTAAAGGTAATATTTATCACTTTTTTTTTTTTTTTTAAATATATATATGTATAAATTTTATTTTTTTTATATTATATCGAAATTATTATTATTAATATATTACTTTTTATAATATGCATTATACAGTGTTTGCAAACTAATAGCTGTATTATCTCTTTATTTTTATGTTGTATTATTATTTTAAAAAAAAAAAAAAAAAAAAAAAAGTAAAACTATATATTTATTTATACAGTTATTTTAACTACAAAAATCCTTTTAAAGTAAAAATAAATTTAAAAATTTGAATATATTTTTAGGTGTGTTCATATGTAATATATAACGAAAAAGTGAAATAAATGTTTATATATATTTTTTCCTCATTTTTATTTCATTTATTTAGTATTTTAATAAAATACTCACCTTACATATTATATAATCTTATTTTAAAAATATTTCTCTATTTATGGGATTACAATAATGATGATAGTTCATTTGATTTTCAATTTTATCTTGTAAAACATTAAAATCACTTATATTATAAAAACTAATTTGTTTTTTTTTGTTTTGATTAAATTTAACATATTCTTTAAAATCATTTAGTAAAATATCATAATCGTTCATTTGATTGTTAAAGGTAGTGATATTCTTCAAGTAATTTTTAATTTTTTGATCCTTTTCTATAAAACACTTCAATTCTGAAAAATATTTTCTATTAAAATTTTTAATTAGCAAACAATTATTAGAAAGAGAATTATAATTTTGTTTGACTTTATTTGATATTTTTTTATCTATCATAAGAACTTCTTTTTTTTTTTTTGAAATGTTTTCAAAGGAATCATATTCCTCTAAGAATAATTTTTCTTCAGAAGACTTTTGATGTTTTATATTATTATAGAAAGAACTTTTGAAATGTTGATAAAAACTTAAATTTAATTTTTTGTAATAATTTGTCTTATATATATAAGATAAATATAATTCTGAAAAAAAGTTATTTATACATCGAGCAAATAATAATTTTTTAAGAAAAAATTCTGCATTATATAAATTATATATTGACTGATTATAATGATCATAATATATTGCCTCTTTTAATTCTGATATAACATTGTTATTTTTATCGTTACAATAATGGCCATAAATAAAAAAAAAAAGTTTTATTAAATTCATATTAAAATATATAGGGCAATATATATAAGGCATTTTAAATATTTCTTCTTTTTTTTTATATTTCTGAATATATTTTATATTTTTAATGGAATAATTACACAATGAAGAAAAAAATTTTTTCTTATTTTTTTTTTTTCTTTCAATTTTTGTTTTACTAATATAAAATTCCTTAGTATTTTGATTGTGCATTTTATCTAAGATATTCATAGAATTACTATTTTTAACTAATGACTGAACATATTCACCATTATTATTATGCATATTCTTTGTATGTTTTTTCATTAAAGATTTTTTGAATTTTTTATAAGTTTTTTTTTTAATTCCGTTATTTTTATTTTTTTTTTTCTTTTTTATAATAGAAGATATATTAATTAACATATAGCTATACGATAATCTACATACCTCATAATAATTTAAGTAACTTTTTAATAATAATGAAATGTTTTTATATTCTTTAAAATATTGAACAATTTTTTTGGCATCTTTTTCATAAGTATTACCATTTATTACATAATAATTATAATTATCCAACAAATCACTTTTTTGAGATAAAATGTTAATATGATGTAAAAATATTAGTTTTATATTATAATTTGTAAATATACTGTAATAAAAAAGAAAAAAAAAATTAAAGTAAATTTTTAAATAGTTTAAATAATTATAACAAGCTATCAGTCTCCATATTTTGAATCTAAATATATTTTTTTTTTTAAAAAAAAAATGAAAATTATTCTTATAGACATTGTAAAATTTATATAGCTGTAATGCACAATTAAGAAAATAAAAGAATTTATTCAAATATCCTTTTTCATCATGTTCATATAAACTAATTAATGAATTTGAATTATTAGAAAAATAAGAATTAAACCAATTGTTAGAATTATATGATGAAATGTTTTTTTCATTAAAATTCCAATGTAATTTATTTGCATTATAAAGATGTTTAAATATATTTGTATTACTAAAACAGCGATAAAATCTCAAATTTTTATACATATTAGAAATAATTTTCTTTTGTTCTATTTTCTTTGTAGTGTAGAAGTTGTTAGACGTATTACATCTATTAATTTTTCTTAGAGTTTCTCTATGACTTTTATAATTTTTTTCTAATACATTTGATATATTGTAATTTATTCCATTATTTTTATGTATATTATTTATCTTTATTATATTTTTTCTTTTTCTAAGTATACTTTTTTTTTTATGTGCAATAATTTTTCTTTTATCTTTTTTTTTTTTTTTTTTTAAATCTAATAATGATTCAACTTTGTAATAAAAATGTTCCAAAGGTAATACCCACCAAAAAATATTATTTCCATTATCTTTAAAATATTTATTATGAATAAAATTATCAAGATCATTAGAATTTTTTATTTCTTTAAGTTTAGAATTAATTACACCTAAATATAAATTAATTGATTTCTGTTTTTCTAAATCATTAAATGAGCTTATATAATGTCTTTTAATAGAAGTAAACAATTCTTTTGACTGAATAAAAATATTTTTATTTTGTCCAGTTGTATATTTTTTATGAGCTGTTGATCCTGCATACTGTTTAGATATAGCATCACCTAATTGTTCATATAATTGTGATAAATGAGAAATTACATTTATACTCAAGTTATTTCTCTTAATTAATTTTATTAATTTAAGAAATTTAATAAAAATATAAATATTAATAAATAATTGAGCAGCATTAGTTCTATCTAAACAGTCAACACAATTAAATCTGAGAACTCCTCTTTGTACTAAAATAAGTTTAAAATTGTTTATATAAAAAAAACCAATATTATTTTGTGAAAAATTAAATAATAATTTTAAATTATTTTGTGTGTATTTTGAGCCAATGTTATATGCTTTTCTTAAGTCTAGATGTTTATAAATAATTTGAATTTTTTTTGGCAATTTTTTATTAATAGAATCAATACATTTCTTATATTCTTTTGATAAAATATTCTCATCTGTATACTTATTTTTACTTAATAAATTTACGACAGTTATAGGATATCCATACTTTTCAAATAGTAATTTAAAATGATTTTTGCTACAAGTATAATTAATATCACTCTTCAAAAATCTTATTTTTGGTTTTTTTAATAATTTATAATTTACAGTTTGTCTCCAAAATATGGGTATTGACCCTCTTAACTGAACATATGACAATATTGCATTAAAATTATTTTTCTCAAATAAAATAAATTCTGATTCTACCTCATTTGCAGAAAAACCTTTGGAGTTTATTCCTCTCTTTCTATATCTAGTACCTGCATATTTACTACATCTTCTTGCTATAAATGTTATATCTATATACCTTCCTGAAAAGTAAAATTTAGATTGTGTTAAGTATCCATTTATTAGAAAAACACAAATAAATAAATTATTTTTAACAAAATGTTTGCAATGATAAAAATTCCAAATATAATGATTTTTATAATTTTTATTATATATCACATTTCCCTTTAAAAATTCTTTTTGTATAAAATAATTATCTTGAACACAATTAGATAAATTATATGTATAGGAGAAATATAAATATTTATTATTTATATTATTATAAAAAATTTCTATTAATTCATTTTCTTCATTATAATTTTCAAAAATATTTTCTTTAAAAGGAATTAATAAAACATTTTTAACCATGTATATTTTATGTTCATTAAATAAATAAGCAACCTTTTCCTTTTTTGTTAATACATATAAATATGGAAAATTTAAAAATTTTATACATCCTAATATTCCTTCACATTTACACAATAATGTTAAATTGTTTTCTTTTAAAAAGTTATGATACAAATTTTTCTTAAATAATTGAAAATTTCCATCTATTTTAATTTCTTTTGTTTTTGCTAATTTAGTTATTTCATATATATCTTCCTTTTTATTTATTCCTATAATAAAAATATTTTCATCATTTGAATATATTTTATACTTTCTGAAGACTGTTAAACATGATAAATACATTTTTTTTTTTTTTTTTTTTTTACATTTTTTCTTTATAAATATATATATATATTATATTTTTTTGTTTGTTTTATATCTTTTTTTTTTTTTTTTATATATAATACTTTATATTTAAAAGAACTTTTCCATTTTTTAATAATATTAAAGTTATTTTAGTTTTGCACTTTTTAATATTTCATATTTTTTCATTTAACTTTTTTTTTTTTTTTTATTCTTTTATTTTATACTCCATATTTTAAAAAATTTTTTATTTTATATTTTTTAATTTTTAAAACTTTTTATATAGGAAGTTCATATATTATTTCATTTTTTATATTAACATTTATTTTTAAAAATAATTCTTGAATATTTATTTCTCTACTAAAATTTTTTTTTTATATATACAAATATTAATGAAGAGAAAAAAATTATATTTCTTCATCATACGTATCCTTTTTTTTAATTTAGTATTATTCTAATTTTTTTAACTATAAATGTTGAAAATAAAATAATTATTTAATTTCATCCCAACTTCAACAATAATTTGTTTGTTTGTTTGTTTGTTTGTTTGTTTGTTTGTTTGTTTGTTTGTTTGTTTGTTTGTTTGTTTGTTTGTTTGTTTGTTTGTTTTTTTTTTTTTTTTTTTTTTTTTTTTTTTTTTAAAAAAAAAAATTAGAATTATTCTGTAAAAATTTTTTTTTTAAATGATATTTATATCAATGTTTTTTTTTTTTTTTTTTTTTTTTTTTTTTAAAAAAAAAAATTAGAATTATTCTGTAAAAATTTTTTTTTTAAATGATATTTATATCAATGTTTTTTTTTTTTTTTTTTTTTTTTTTTTTTAAAAAAAAAAATTAGAATTATTCTGTAAAAATTTTTTTTTTAAATGATATTTATATCAATGTTTTTTTTTTTTTTTTTTTTTTTTTTTTTTAAAAAAAAAAATTAGAATTATTCTGTAAAAATTTTTTTTTTAAATGATATTTATATCAATGTTTTTTTTTTTTTTTTTTTTTTTTTTTTTTAAAAAAAAAAATTA